GCGCCCGGGGGGCAAGGCCGCCCCGCGAGGGCGGGGAGGGCCGCCCCTTCTGTTTCACCCGTTTCACCATGGGGGAGGGGGGCGAAGAGGCAGTGTAATAGGATGATGATGAGGAGGAATAGGAGGGGGATGCGGAGGGGGAGGGGGGGGATGATGAGGAGGAGGAGGGGGAGGAGGAGAGCCATCTCGGGGCGAGCGTCTGCACGCCCCATGGGCCACTGAGCGGCGCGCGCCGCTTCCCCCTTCGCCCCTGCGTCCCAGGAGGCGAAGGGCACGGCAATGTTGCTGTGCGACGTGCCGCATTCGGACACCCATGTATGCGTCATGTCTACCACCCCTTCCTCCTTCAACTCATCGAGCCCACCCCCCCCGTCCCCCTCCTTCTTTATTCCTGCCCCCCCTCCTTCCTCACCCCCATCGATCGTCGATAAGAGTTCCAGCGCACCAGCGCGAGCGAAGTCCTCCTTACCCATCCTCTTCTCTGAGCTGTAGCTTTCTTCGCGGCGAGGCCGAAGCCATTGCCCCTGGGGGGCCGAGGCCGACCCCGAGATCAAACTGTGGACGAGGCCGAAGCCATTGCCCCTGGCGTCGAGCAAGAAGCCAAATCGGTAGCCCCCCCCCCCCCCCCCCCCCCGCACCACGCAGCCGCATGTTACACAGGAGCGGATGGACTCTCGATTCGAAACGCTTTCATGCATTTAGATGTTTCCCAACCATCCGGTGGTGTTGGGTCCTCGTTTTGAAGAGACGGTGCCCCGCGTCCTTCTCCTCCTCTCCTCCTCCTCCTCCTCCTCCTCCTCCCCCTCTTCCCTCCCCCTTGCCTCTGCCCTCCGCATGTTTCTGTTTCGGCACATCCTTCGCGCGTTCCGTGGCCCCATGGGGAGCTCCGCCGAAGGCCCCGGTGGCAGGGCCCGCATGGCGGCCCCGCATTTTGGCGCACCCCTTCACACGGCTCGTGGCCCCATAGGGAGCTCCACCGAAGGCCCCAGTGGCAGGGTCAGCATGGCGGCTCCGCATTTTGGCACACCCCTCACACGGTTCGTGGCCCCTTAGTAGGCAGCTCCACCGAAGGCCCCAGTAGCAGGGTCAGCATGGCGCCCCCGCATTTTGGCGCACCCCTCACACGGTTCGTGGCCCCATAGGGGGCTCCACCGAAGGTATCAGTGGCAGGGTCCGCGTGGCGGCCCCGCCCCATTTTGGCGCACCCCTCGCGCGGCTCGTGGCTCCTTAGTAGGCAGCTCCACCGAAGACCCCAGTAGCAGGGTCCGCATGGCGGCCCCGCATTTTGGCGCACCCGTCACACGGTTCGTGGCCCCGTAGGGAGTTCCACCGAAGGCCCCAGTGGCAAGGTCCGCATGGCGGCACCGCATTTTGGCCCGCCCCTGACACGGTTCGCGGCCCCGTAGGGAGCTCCACCGAAGGCCCCAGTGGCAGGGTCAGCATGGCGGCCCCGCATTGGCGCGCACCCCGTCGCACGGTTCGTGGCCCCGTAGGGAGCTCCACCGAAGGCCACCGTGGCAGGGTCCGCATGGCGGCCCCGCATTTTGGCGCACCCCTCGCACGGTTCGTGGCCTCATAGGGAGCTCCACCGAAGGCACCAGTGGCAGGGTCAGCGTGGCGGCCCCGCATTTTGGCGCACCCCCGCACGGTTCGTGGCTCCATGGGGAGCTCCACCGAAGGCCCCAGTGACAGGGTCCGCATGGCGGCCCCGCTTCATTTTGGCGCACCCCTCACGCGGCCCGTGGCCCCATAGGGAGTTCCACCGAAGGCCCCAGTGGCAGGGTCCGCGTGGCGGCCCCGCATTTTGGCGCACCCCTCACACGGTTCGTGGCCCCATAGGGAGCTCCACCGAAGGCGCCAGTGGCAGGGTCCGCATGGCGGCCCCGCCCCATTTTGGCGCACCCCTCACGCGGCTCGTGGCCCCACAGGGAGCTCCACCGAAGGCCCCAGTGGCAGGGTCAGCATGGCGGCCCCGCATTGGTGCGCACCCCTCACACGGTTCGTGGCCCCATAGGGAGTTCCACCGAAAGTGATGCCCACAATTGCGGTATTAACAATTGCCTATGGTTGGGCCTTTCGCCGGGCTAATTTCTTGAACAAGCAGCGTCTCATTCGAGCCGTGTCCTGGATTTTGCCTTCGGAGTGCTCTCGGATGTCTTCCAAGATGGCCCCGCGAGGAGGGGGGGGAGGGGCGGGGGGAGGGGGGATGAGAAGGAGGAGGATGGGGGGGGGGGGGGGGAAGGAGGGGGGATGAGGAGGGAGGAAAGCACCCTCCCCTCCCCTCCTCCTCCTCCTCCTCGCCATCATCAGCATCATCATCATCATCATCATCATCGCCGTGTTCACGCCCTTCTGTCGATATCCATGTTGGCTCGGGGCTGCAAGGGCCTGATTCCCGCAGTGGCTCTGGCCTCGCGGGAGGAGTGCTTGCAGCAGCGCCTGGCTGCATGCAGTCTGGAAGTCTTGCGCGGAGAACTCTTGCAGGCGAACCGTTGACGGCTTTTCCAATCGAGCAGTTTTGGGTGCAGAACGGCGACTCTGGTGCATTATGGTGGGATTTGGATTATCTCGATGCTCATTTCAGGGTCACTGGTGTTACGACGCTGAAGAGGCACAAGTGGCTATGCGGCGTGAAAGGTACATTGTCTTCAGATCCTGCGACGTCTGGTTCTTGTCGCGTGCATCTGCATCGAGCTGATCAGCCAGCCAATGCCTTGAACGCCAGCGCGTGCACTACAGTCGGCGTTCTGGTTGCCCTGGCAAAGTGCATCGATGGTTCTCGGTCGGCGCAAGGCGTCGACGTGCCATGTGCCGTGTTTCGGCACATCGCACCCGCGTCCTGTTCGGTGGCGCAGCCGCTGGGCCCGCGAATTTTCAATTGCCCCTATGGTGGTTTCAGTATCGACTGTGATGGGCGCATGTATGGGTGGCAGCTCCTGTGCACAGAGGTCTGTGGCCATGAGGCGACTGCGGACGTGGTCGAGCATCTTTGGGGATCCTTGCACGCTCAAGGCATATTGCGGCACCCTTTCCAGTACGAGAGCCACTCGCTGGCCGACGTCGTTGTGTTCATATGTTTAGTTTGCAAGCAGCGCAGGTCTGATGGTCGCTGCCCTAGCGAACGGCTGGACACGTTTCGCAACATGTGCTTCTTAATTGTGGTATCGCAATGTTTGGTGGCTTTGTTCTCCGAGCTCGTGCAAGCTCGCTATTGTAACGATGGCAATATCGCTGCTATGCGCCCACCCCCTGCTATTCGGACGGTTAAATGCAAACGCAATTACGTAGCAGTTGACGCTGAGGCCGCGTGGGACTTGCTCGAGAAGGCGATGCAGGTCGGCACCAGCTTCGAGGCAGCACTTGCGCTGAAAAGCGACGAGGCCGCTTATGGTTGCACCGAACGCCAGGGGTCTAAATGGATAAACATCGCCCTGCAGCTTTACTACAATAGGTGCGAGAAGCTTTGGCCGAAGGGCGACGTCAACCATTGCAACTTCGTATCTGATCCAGGGCATCACAGCTACATGGAGTGCCTGGTCACTCTGGCCTACTCGTGGGAACAGGACTGGGCTTCGGGTTTAAACTCGCTGCCTGGATCGGGTCTC